AGAATAACAATTATAACGACACAATTGAAAAGGATTGTAAAGGGGCTGAGGATGTACTCCAAATAAAACAAGTGTTGCGGAAGCGTTCTTCGTTTTTTAAAGTAGGGCATAACAACGTGGCGGAATTCGCATTCCGACAGCTTCACGCACATGCATTCGGGCAAAAATCGGTGTCTTACAAATCTCTTAGGATCCTCTTTCCCAAATTCAAGAAACTCCATTTCATCGAATTCTCGTAGGCATTCTTCAGCCTTTTGCTTTCGTTGTGTCTCCTTGACGAGGTTTCTTGGGTTGACGACGGTGCAGTTTGGGCAAAATTTACACCAAGTAACCCCCCTGAGTTCTTTTAGCTTGGGAAGAGCCAGAATATTTTCATCCGGGACCCAGTCGATTGTTCCAGTGATATCCAGGTATTCAAGATCTTGGGTACTCTTTGACTGGTTACCAGACCAACTCCTGATATTATTTAGACTGAGATTTCTGGGGAAGAAAGTTATGGGGAAAATAAGGTTTGTTTCCTCACTGACAAACTTGTGAGTTAGCAAGCACTGTTTGATGAGCGGGCCTTAGTTCTAAACCTGAAGCAAAGTCCTTCCCTTACGGGAAGAACGGAGATTGGACTCAGGAATGCGACCTAAATCGAACCGCCTACTAAGATATTGTTCATACTAGTATTCCCAGTATTTTTGTATATCTTGGAACTGTTCCACGGCGAGGTTTCGAGTCCACTCGATGCTTGCATTATAACTTTTAGCGAAAGTAACTAGTTCAGTTTTACTTAACTGGTTTGTCTTGGAAACAAGTGCTCCCCCTTTAACTCCAGTTCAAACCCAAACATGCAGTTTATGAACATGGTGAATATATCAAGGAACAAAATTTGCTGGCTTGAGTATTAATTATGGAAAAAACAATCAATATTCTTCTGAAGTTTACGTTTTAGAAGCGTTTGTGCAAATTCACAAGCAATGCCAGTCATAGCACCTCTTGATACTTACAAATATTTCAGGCGATTGAGTTCAGCAAAGAATTTGCTGTTAACCTCCCCGATTAAGTTTCGTTGAAGAGAGCTGAAAAACAATACATTAATGTTATTATTGGGAATAAATTTTTAAAATTAAACTCTTTAAAATAAGTAGGAATGAATGCTCTCAAATGGGTACATGACGTTGCTTAGCGTTTAAATGAATATCTTTTCATTTAAATGTCACAGATTTTAATAAATTGTTTCCTACAAGTATATCAGGTGGTGTATGTACAGATTGCAGTACTTACACGCAGTTGGTGAATAATGTATTTATGAAAACATTGACACTTGTTTTTCATGGTTGCCGGAGACTAGTGCTCCGCGAATAGCACACTGATTAACGTTCCCATATTTCACTTAGGTGAAAAAAGTTTAGATGAACTCTTCAATCTAAAACTACGCATAAGCTAAAAGGTACTCTGCCCAGTTGCATTTTAGGAATAACTTTTGGAAAAGTTTGTTTTTCTCAGTTTACCAGAAACACGTTTACTACACTCAAGTCCACTCAAAGGTACAGTTAGTCCAAAGGAAGTTTGACAAAATCATTTCACTATCTTCAACAAGATGGTATAAACTATGATCAAAGTAATGACTGTGTACCATTTAATAAGCGCTAAAAACCTCAAGTGAAATGGAGTATTAGATACCCTTATGTACAAACTGCTTGTTAACATATCACTACTGCGCATTTATTTTACTGGTAAACGAAATTTAATTCGATTCTGAGAGCTAATGAAATGAGATGTCTATTTAAGATTTGCGGCCTTAAGAACAGCGCTACACTTCGTATTTACCTTCGTGATTAATTGATTATCTGTGGAAGTACTTATGGGTATCAGTTCATATGTGTGACATTTGCGTAAGTGTTTTTTTGATGAGTCACCGTGAGTTAAAATGGCATTGTTTTTCCTTCTGTACATTACAACAGCTTACGTTACGAAGGCTTAGTAACTTGTTTTACTGTCTCTTGGAATTCAAACTCAACGTTGGCCGCCAGGATATTTTTCTTCCGAGCGCTATTTTGAGGAGCCTCCATTTCATCGGTCTTTGACAACTGCTTCGTTTTTGGAGCATCGTTAGACACTGAATCTCCAACAGAGTTAAAATTCAATGCTGGAGTCAGAGATGGGAGGACCTTGCGGGACAGACGGTGGATTCTTCGCCTTACTTCCCGCTTAAAATTAACATGTCGAAATGCATAAAGAAATGGATCCAACAGGGAGTTAATATTCAGACAAGTCACAGGAAGCCATTGACCAATGGAAATTTTGAAAATGGTGCTTTTGAAAGAGTCACCATTAAATTCAAAAGGATTGCTCTCTAGCTTGGCAAAGATTGAGAAGGCTTAGACTATTATTTGTATTAATGTTTGAAATTTCCAATGTACAATTACTATTGATATGTAATTTTTTCCAATTAGAGATTATTGCATGATGGGATAAATAGAAGAACTTATGAAGAAGATGCACCAACCAGAAAAAGTCTTCAAAGAAGGTTTGCATAATGAGTTATTAAGCAGTCTTAGTAAGAAATGTTTCAGGGAATGAACATACATGTACCTCTGTTAGATTGAGTCCAAATTAACTGAATGCATTTCCAGTATGAAGTTTTTAGAAAGGTGGGGAGAGATGGTGGGTTCTGAATTAGGCAGAGATGATGTAGACCTGAGCTATCATTAGTATGATACATTGTGTTGTTTTCAGGTAGGAGTAAGTTTGAGTCCAAATGAACTGGATGCATTTTCCTGTATGAAGCTCAAGAGCAGGGGGGAGGGAATTAAGACAGTGGGTTCTGCATGGGGCAGAGGTGACGTAGACCTGAACTATCATTTGTGTGATACATTGTTTTTTAAAAAAAATAGGTTGGTACATTGTTGATCATGGTGAATACTCAATATGCTATACTGTGTAGTTATTAAAGGATCAATTCTCATAATTGTGAAATGTTATTAGCATCACCCAGATCTCCTGAGTATGACTCCAATTACCAGTAAGGATGACGTTGCCTTAAACTGAATTTATAGCATGATGTTTTAAAAAAAAGGCATTGATGTTTGGCATAGATGTTAATTACCATTCTTTAGAATAATTATTTTGTCTCACACTTGGAGTTTTTCCCCATTCAGAGTGTTTCAATGGATCTTTGCCTTTCCTGCTGTATGTGACCTGTTTGGAACTACTTTAGCAAGTGAGAATAAGTATTAATATTAATCTTTATTTTTCCTTTATTGTATGTTTTCAGGTTATGATGCCCATTAATCCCTCTGAGGTGTCCCCATGCCTAGAGCAAATTTACATTAGGAATGTCTAATTGTAACCAAAGTGTCCTTTGGGTGGTGTGTTTGAAATAAAAATTTGCCAAAAGAAAAGTTCCTAGGCCTGATCTAACTACCTCATGCATACCATGACCACTACCTCAGTAATGGCAATGTTTTTTCGTTGGGCATTGAACGAAATAATAGGTGTTAAAGAAATAAAATTTAAGGAAATTAAAGACACCTTCTAGAGCCACTGAGGGAGAAATGATACTAAAGGTTTATTTTCTCTGTTTTTTATTTCACTCAAGCAATTGGTCTGCTTTATGTAAAAGCATCAGTATGGCAAATGCTGAGAGGTTCAATCATAATATTTACTGGTTTGCTTTCTGTAAGTGTTTCTATAATTTTATTTTATATTTCTAAATGCTTTCCATACAGCAACAGGTGCTCTTTGAATTATGATAGTAATATTCCGAGTAATAGTAATATTCTAGGTATATTACCAAGTTGACTCTGTGAAGACACACACGTTTTTCCTTAAAGATATGTTTTTCTTAATTAGTGGTAACTGACAGGCTGTAGGGGTTTGAAAGAATAGTCAAACTCTTCACCGTGTTATTCAGTTCTGGGTCATTGGGTCTTTTCTTTTCTTTTCTTCTTTTTTTTTTTAATCCAATCTGAATGTACTTATCAAAGGACCCTTAGATATGCAAGAATGATTCTGATGGGATGAAAATACTGTGTGCTGCGTATATGAATATTTTCCTTCTTTTTTAATTATAGAAAATATTTTTGAAAAGAAAGTTGTGGCCAATTCACTGGATTGGAATGATTGTAACTGTGGTAGGTGGAATTTTTTTAAATTTATTCAAATTTATAGAAGTTTTTAGTGGTAAATGATTGAAGGAGGAAGGTGAATTACACGGACACAACAAGGTAGGAATATTAGTTTCGCATCCAAATTTCGAAGTGCTAGTAAGGTAAAAAGCTCCATTCCTCCCTCCCTGAATCCATGAAAACTCAAAAGCCATTGGATGCATTCGGAGCGGGGCGGAACGGTTTTCAAATCGTAATTTCTCGCCCTAGAATTGACTTTCAACTAAAATTATTATTGAAAAGGCTTTATTAATTGCTAAAAATTCATATTATAATGTAATAACTGAATTTTTCGGGTTTTCAAATTATAGGGTGGTTTCGTAAGAGTGCTCCTTTAAGTAACCGAGACCAAACTCGAGTTCCTCTGGGCTTGCGTCACATTGTTTCATTGCATTTTTACTCTTGATAGCAAGATAATCCAATTATCAGTTCGAAGTTAATTTTTTACACCGTGCAATCATTTCGATAGATTTATGTTTACTCTGTTGTTCTGTTAGTGGTGTTGATGTTTCACCAAACATTTTAAAATCTTTTTCTCCTTTATTCGCTGTTTTTTCGTAATGACCATCTAAGGAAGACTCTATTCTTCTCTCGGCCTCACTTTGAGCCATTCCGGTTCTTTCCTTCCAGCCTCAGAGAACTATAACCTATGATCATTTTTCTTGTTTTGAATTACTTGGAGTCAACTGTACTGATTCACTTGTCAAGATGGAATAGAACCCAGCACCAAGCAACGATTTTACAGTTCCGTGTTCGTGGTAGAGAACCATAAAACTGACATTGAAAATCAAGCTTAATTTTACAGCAAGTCACAACTTGCCATGAATAGAAAAGATAATTTACTCAGCGTTTCCACGGATGGAGGTAAAGTATACAGTATCCACATACATAACTCAGTAAGAAAACACATGTTGGTGAAGCGAGTGGCCTTAACTTATAATTAAAAGTTCCAACACGAACTTTTAGGACCATAACGTTTCTTGCTAGCAAACTTAATTTTTCTTTTATAGGCATAATTTTTCTTTTATAGGCAATTTGTCCCATTTTTAACGCAGTCAATTGCTATTTCCCTGGCTTTCCTCCGGTTTTGACACTAGAGTCCTTGGTATGACATGTAATGATAAGTCTTGGAGTGTAAATTTTCTGGGAGAGCGTTTGAAGTGGCCGCCAAATTTAATACGGTGCGCGGTTAATTTATTTAATATACCTTTTTATCGTACGTGTTCTATTCAAAGCATTTTGCCTTTTCTCATTAAATGTAAAGTATAATAAACCGAATGCAAACATGGCGTCCAATTTGAGTTGCCATTGTTCTGGACTGACTAGCCTCTCACACATGTAATAATCCTTTTTGTATTTCCACGTGAAGACGAGGCTTGTCAATCCAGAACAATGGCAATTCAAATTGGACGTCATATTTGCATTCGGTGTATAGTGAAACTCAAACTGCATATCATGGATCTGTACTTACAAGTTTGTGATATTTAGATATTTATGGATGACAAAAACTGGCACTTGAGACAAATCGTTGTCAGACAGGTCTCTGCAAATAAAGGAGATAAGAGATTGAAAGGAAATACATTTGAGGGAAATTTTTTAGAGGCTTTTTGTAAATGGATCACTTTTTATGACTTTAGGGTTATCACAATTTTTCCTAAGACAAGTAATTGGTACTTTTTTCCTCTTTCAGAGATCGTAAAAGGCGCTTTAGTTCGGATCAATTTGTTTTTACCAGCTTACTTTCATTTTCTTTTCAAAAGATTCATTTTTGTATTAATTTCAAGGGTAAAAAAACTGCGATACAGTTACGTAAACAAAGCCAAAAATTGTTTGTCAGAAAAAAAAATTAATTCAGCATAAGAACTGGTAATTTATTTAAATTATTAACACGAGAGAATTGCTGATTTTGAAATCTGATTTTACTTTTTTCACACTTGAAAATCACATTCTAAAAAATGAAACGTTTTGACCAAATCTTTCCTGTTTTGTATCTCTTATAACCGGTCGATGAAAATTTAGATAATTCTTCCTGTTCACCTTCCGGAAATGAGCACGAACTTTTCACTCTTATAATTTTTCTGTTGTTCTCTCCACATGACACCAGTGACAGGAAAAAAATAACAACAACATAAAGAAAAGGTTTTTTTAGATCTCCTATCTCGCGAGGTCTACTGATTTGTTCCTGTGTTGCACTGTCATAATCTTCGTGTTTAATAAACGTTTCCTTCCATCTTCCGCTCACCGCTAGCAAACAATAACTTTTGTGGCTTTTGAAAATTATTTGATTACTATTACCAGAGATATCAATAACAATAAGTGCGTCGCCTTATGAGAGAGTTTTCGAAAGTAAGCAGGACTGTTTCTACCACACGAAAAAAAAAAAATAGAGATTTCATAGTGCCCTCACCATCAGTGTCGTACAATACTCAGTGACACAAACGAAATTGGGTGAAATTGTGCAATTTGCAGTGAATTCGAAATAACCCCAATGACTTCAAATCATCTTTAAACATCACCACACCGTGTTCGAATAATTCATTATTGAGATCATAATTTCTCCCTGAAAAGCAGCTGTATTTCAATGAATGACCGACTGGCTTTGCAGTTAATTCTCGGTAAGGTTGTTAACTAATTTCAAGACCCTTCTTCTTTTTTAACAGTGTCAATGAGAGGTACTTCAATGCAGATGCTAATGAATAGGTTTATTTGATCTCTTGCAATTTCAAGCGACGCCAAAAAAATGATCTTTTCTTGGTAATGGCAATAAACACGAGCCTAAATAAGGATAGAAAGTACAACCGCTTCGAAATAACTTTAAAAACGCTTTATGCTAAACCACAATGGAGATCTACTCACAAAGTATTCACATCTGGTGGTAGAACAAGATTACTCTCACTCAGATTTTTCCCGGCGAAGTTGCATTCGGCCAAAACCTTTCCGGACACTCTGTCTCGTGAACAGTGGCAATCATTTGCGCATGACAAGTAGGTGTAAAAGGTATCGTCGTCAGTGCTTTCTAAACGTGTAGGAAATAGCGCTACCAAAAGAGCAAACGGCAGAAATCGCACGGCCATGACGAAAACCCGTTTGAGTATCTGTTCGCTTAAGGAAAGATGTCCTCTGCAATTATACCAATGTTATTTGAACAACTTCGAATTTGCATATAGTTTATAAACATTTGTTTGCGGAATTTAGTGCTTCCCTAGCAATTAACAGTCAAACAAGCGAAACTCACTATCGGAAAAGATTTCTTAGTGCTTCAGACGGCCTAATACCTCCAGAGTCTTGTACCTCAGTTTTCTCTGACGAGTCTGGCTTTGCTTCAGGTCCAGAATTCAAAGATATACCTGAATTAACCCGCACTGATGAGACCAAGAACTACTAATATTCGTAGTATCCACAAACGTAGAAATGGGAATTGTCTTCTGTCTTAATTGTCACTTCCTGACGTGCAGTCCAAGGTGATTTACGTTCAACTGGCAGTAAACAGTGCTGCCGGTTGAGAATTAAGCGTGGGTTTAAAGTGTTAATTACAGACTATTCATACAGATATATACATGCTGGCAGCTGCAGGAGAACAAAACATATCGATCCTCGCTTGTAGGCTAACATCTTTGCCATCGATTGGTTCACAGATGAGGCTCTTCCAACCATTATCTAGGACCGGAAGACGTTAAGGCAGGCTTTACAAGTGTCGTTATATATCTGATAACCACATTGCTACTACATAGCTCCTTTCTTTGAATTTGTGATGTTCACCTCGCATTAACAAGGATGACTTAGAGAGAGGCTCTAAAGGAGTCATTAGTAGGTCGGTTATAATATTGTCACCATAGTATTGAGTGACCGTACTTTTCTTTCATCTGTAGTTAGAGATGAATTTCATTGTTTTCAGAATTGGAAGGAGAATTTTCAGAATCATGTTTTGTTTTTTAATCTATTCTTTTCCCAAGCTTTTTGTTGGCATACAATATGTCATTATCATATACCTTTTCTCAACAAAGAAGGTTTGTACATAATGATAAATTCAATTATCGTCCTCCTGCGAAACAGAGATGTCACTGACCTTAGCCTGGGTCGCCATTGCCTCACTTTTAAATCTCTGTGTCTATAACATTCCTTTCTTTTTATACTTTGTTATTTCGTTTGCCCCATGGCAAGTTAGTAAAGATATCAACTCGTTCCTTCAGTTTTAACACCTCTTCATTAAAAGAAAGCTAGTTCGCATAAATGATTAATGATTTGAACCTTTGAAGTCTTTCTATCTAGCTTTGGATCCGAGATAAATATGGAAGGTATAGAAACGATATGCATGACAAGCATTTCAATAAGTTTGTTAAAATTGCAGCATCATATGTAAAATAAAAATGTTCATATTCAGATTGCTATGAATTTATTTCTTATTATTGTCAAGCTACCAATTTCAACTCTTTCGCCGGATGTCGCCATCAATAACTTATTGTCATTTCATTTGCCGTGGTTATGAACAGTTTTGCTACCAGAAAGGTAAACATGCTTCTCTAATTTTCGTTTTTATTTATCATTTTTTTTCTCTGTGCTTCGTATAAGTTAAAGTAAACCTATCACAGGCACGCTGTTTTTCCACTCCCTCAAACTCTTCTGAGTCAGCTTACTTCATTTCTGAACTTAATTATCCTCGTCTTGCAACGGTCTATTTTTGATTATCATTATCTTTGTCTTTTACGATCATCGTCCTTTCATGGACAGTGGCAAACGTTAGTTGGGATATTCATCAAATGAATATTCCTTCAAAAAAGCGAACTTCTTCATTTGTTTGGTGACACGCTCCTTTTGCTCCTCGGTCCATATTACTTTGTCTCTTGTCACCGAGGGAACTCCATACAGGATACTGCTACATTTTTCAAAGTAATCTTCAGAACAAGTGACTCCTAAATGGTCGCACAATCTCTGCAACGTTTCTCTGGGCTTCAACACTGTATTGTGTCCTTGAATGTCAATGACAGCATTCCCGTAACGTTCCCTAATGTGTTGGTTAGCGGCCACCAAGCTGAAATACTGCCTAATAGCTAAGTCGAGTTCGCTCGTCATATTTACCTGTTATATATAAGAGACGAAGAAGAAACGGTAATGTTGTCTTCGTAATGGAGAGTAAAAATAAAGATATATTTTTGTTGTTTTACGCGTTTACAGAGTAGGGAAGAGGATTCCGCTCCTTCAAAATTCCCTTTCCAAACCTTTATCAGAAGAGAAAATGCCTTCGTGAACTATGGGCAGCCCCAGTAAAAAAAAATGTTTTTGGCAGAGATTTATTTGCTTTTGTGCTTAGACGATGCTGCAATGTTTTCTTTATCTATCTGCATTAATTGTTGCGCAAAGGATAATGTTAAGATGCGTACAAAGCGTAAGCTCATATGATTTTCGTTGTTAAAATAATAATTCCTTTTGTTTGATTTCAACCCATTTTTCCTTTATTGATATAACATATACAATCTAATATGTAATATAAGCAAAAAGACGCCAAACATGGAAGTTCTATTTTATAAGTAATTTATAAGGATGTGCATGAATCTTCATATTTCTGTAACTTACTGTTACTCCATCTTCTTTTACAACGTCACGCGACTCTGTAGCGCGGAGCATGATGGTTGCTATGTTGTCAAAGGGGTTTCTGATGACGTGGATGAATTTTATCGGTATTTGAAGAGCTTCGTGAATTTCATAAAGGATGCTCCAATGATTTTTAGTCTTCAATGCATTTGCAGTGCCACCGCCCTTCTTGTCGCCAATTACCTATTCAATAGGATTGAAATAACTAATCAACGATTATTCGCCGTGGGAGAAGTAAATATTGTTTAATAATCCCCGAAACGAAGTCGGGGAAATTATTTATCAAACCTCACTAAACCTGAGGCGAATATTTTTTTAGTACAAGTACTCACGTACTTTCGAATTCCGTGTTAAATTCTGTACTATGTGAAAAAGCATTAGAGCATATTTTTCTCTTATTACGTTAATTACTCGGTTTCAAGATAAGCAAACAGTTTTCACAGCTTTAGTTATAATAATAATAATAGTAATAATAATAATAATATTAGAGATCGATTTCTATAGCGCATTTCCATGTAAATGCTCTAATGCGCTTTACAACACTGTGCGGGGGACTTTTCCAGACTGCCGGCGGCAGTTTACAATCAATAAAGGAAAAATTTTACAGATGCACCCTCCCCCCATTCCCAGTAAACAGGCCAGACCACATCACAGTAATCTCGTGATGTGGGTTCATTAACGTCCCCTGCCGAAATTAACTAATTGATAGGTGCAGGAGATGGGAGCAATGTGAGTCAAGCGTCTTGCTTAAGGACACAACGTCAAGCCCCAGCCAGGACTTGAACCCGGGCCATCTGACCGAGAGTCCAGCGCACTGGACTACTCACGCCTCGCGCCTATTTTATTTATTCAGCAAAAATCTCATATTTTCTTTTGAAAAGTTTTCCGCCAAACTCAGTAGCATCTGTTGGGCTCTTCGCAATTTATTCTTTCGCATGTATCGCTCCCTCGGAAACATTGACAAAACATGGGGCAGCCTTCTTGAAATTTAGTCCTCTTGCTTTAATCACTTTGTCCGAGGCGATTATAATGAGACATGACGCAATCCTCGACCAATCAGAGTGCGCACATCTCTATAATTACCTGAGCAACTACACTAATTATAAAAAAGAATTTTCATAAAAGTAAGTCTGTCGTTTCCCTTAGTGATACACATCTGTGGCTCGAAGGTTACATTTCAGTTTTTGTGTTATTGACTACATTTTGACTTGCGGGATCCACAAATGAACAGGTACACTTTAACGTGGACTATATTTTAGAAAATAGATGAAAGAGCTTCTATGACGCACTCACCTTGATTCTTTTAAAATATCTTCCTTGCCATAGGCCGGGCACTTGGTAGCTGTATCTGACATTCAAAAGGGAGCTATTAGCACGGCGTCCAAATGTAGCGTCCTTTACTGAAAACTCATGAAGCTCATAAAAGAGTTGATACTTCTTAAAGTTTTTCTCAACCTCTGTTGACGAGTGGAATTTTTCTTGCCAAGTTCGAAGCACGTGGTATTCATTAGCGATGATGATTTCTGGATGCGCGTCTAAGATGGCCGCTACAAGGCTGTGACTGCTGCGAGGATATCCGATAAACATCACAAACGTCTCCACTCCGTCGTACAGTTTGAAAAGACCCTCTGCAGAAGAACTGAGCGTGCTAGGCACCTCTGAAATCAAACCAGATTAATTATGCTATTCGATTGTTCACACATTCTTTTCCA